CGCACCACCTTGGCAAAAAAGCATACGATTCCTCCCGATCGCCGTACATAATTGCCATCGCTTTCTGCTTCGCATACCACGCCTTTCTGTAGGAAACTTTAAAGCCATATTTAGCAGTTATCCTTTCTTGCACCAAAAAGATTGACACAGATGGTTCTGACTTTATCATCCTTGCATTGAAGAGGATATCAGTGCCTCGATAACATCGAACAAATTTAATTACACGGCAGTACGTAAACATTGACATGTCATTACGGTAAATAAATACGTACCTATGACGAGATCTGCAATAACGTCCGCATCGAGCTGTCTATGACCCTGGGAAATGTGCTCATTCACACATTCGTGTTTTCCACCCCATCTCGTAATCTTCCAATTTTCATGAAACACCGGTTTGATCGCCCTTACGCGCCACGGACAACCTTGATCATATGCACAACATTTCATGGACAACTTTGCAGGCGTGCTCTCAATTACAATGGCTTCTTAATGCTCCCTAATGAGGTTGTGCTTAAGTGCCATTTGGACATCTTTTTTGTCGCAAATTCTTGATTGACAAATAACATGTCACCCAGTTGCCACGGACCTTGTATTGAAGCCGATCCAGAGACCGAACCATCAGTACATGATTCTTGTTCGCTCCGATAACTCCAATCAATGTAGGAATAATGCGGAATTCCTTCCCAAAAAGGAATAACATCTGTGACACCTGCAATTGCGGATTATAATTTTTTAATACAAACTTACTAATTCAGGTATTAAATCAGTTATCTATTCAGCTATATAAAAATGGGATCAATTACCTTCATGGTGAATACCGAACGGGGCAGACGCAACGTCATTCAACTGCGGCATTTGCGCGACGACTGGTTGATGGAATATTGAGATTTGAGACACACCCATCTCACGTGATTCATCTCCTTCTGAAGCACTAGCATCCTCCGCCAGAAAACGTTCTTCCATTGCCACATTGTGCAGCAGATGTGTAATTTTTTACAAAACAGCATTAAATGCGTAATTATTTAATTTAAATGCATTATTTTAATTTTTTTGCCAGCTTTGATATAGATGAAGAAATTGTGGATGGTTTTAGCAGCCTTTGCTTCCAGTGATGCTTCTCCAAATCCTGGTACAACCATATTCGTGCAGTGTAAGAGTGTGGGTTGAGAGCTCCTTCGCTTTCGAGGCCAAAAATGATAAACATAAAGAATTGAGAAAGTGGTAAAGTTGCCAGGATGACATCGTTAACAATATTTACGTAGAGAATTGAGAAAATGTTTTAAATTTAGTGAGGACAAAGCTATGAAATCCAAGATACTATGGCGGGTTAGGGTCTCTGCATATCGAAAAATATCTCCAGGCTTCTATTCCACATGAAGAAATATTTTTGAGCTAGATCTATTTATCTCATGTTGCGTGAGATAATTATCTCATGCAACATAGACAAAATAGTGAGGTTCACCATTAAAAAAAATAAAATAAAATAAATAATAGAGCCATTATTTTATCTCCGTTGAAATAATTATTTTCCTTGAGGTCTTGGGTAAAAGTTGAGAACTTTTACATCCAAGGTTGAACCCACAATTCCATATCTGTATTCAAGGAGGCTCTATTTTTTCCTCTATGTATTTTCACCCAAGCACAAGCCCAAAGACTTATTGAATCTCTCATGACCTTATGTTTTCCCCTTTTCTAAACATTTCCTTTCTTTTTCCAATTTCTTCTCCTCTGTTTAGAGACTCTGATGTTCATTGAGAAGCAATAGCGGACTTAGAAATTTTTTTTAATGTCTGCACAATTAGAATAAAAGAATAAGGTAAAAAAAATTTAAAGAAAATTTTAAATATATTAAAATATATATATATATATATATATATAAGAAAATTTTTAACTTAATATAAAAAAAGTAATCAAGAGTCAACTAAATTGTTACAACAGAACATTTTGGGTTCTCAACAAAAATTACGAGCCTCAATTTAATCTTTTAGGGAAAAAAAGTCTACTCGTGATCCCTCAGAATTCAAAAATAGACTCAGATAATCAAAATCATGGTCCTCTGAAATTCAAAAAGATTCACATTAATCCCTCAAAAGAACTAACATGGGTCTATTTTGAATTTTAAAGGGATCACGAGTCGGCTTTTTTTTAAGAGATTAAATTGGATCCTGTGACTTTTGTTCCTGACCCAAAATATATATATTTTTTTCTCCAAAAATTTGTGTGTGCATTTGCACACACTAAAACATACGTAGGTCCGCCACTGTTCAGAAGGGATTCCCCTCATTTGATTTTTTTGCGTGGACTTATAGGATGAGATCCCATCCTTTGTCATTCTGTTCTCTGTTGATTTTGCCTAGAGCGGAGTTCACATGACATATTTCATTCTGGTGTTTACTTATTAAACATTTTTTTTTTCTTTTTCATTTGACTAGTTTCTATTTTTAGCTTGAATTTCCATGATGCAAAGCTACTTAAGCTCTGAATTTAGTAGAGAATTTTCTTTGACTAAGGAGTTGTCATTGTCCTCATTCATTTTTAATTTTTGATTGCTTTCTTTCCTTTAAATATAATAAACAAAAGTGGAGAATGGTGCAAAGGTAGGACAAATTAAAATATGATGTTCACAATGGGTAATAAAATGAAAGTTCCATTGGAAGGTGTAATCATATATCTTTTAGTTCTTGACCCCCAAATATGATTTGGATCTATTTCAAACTATTTATGTACCTAATATATCTAGGCATTTAGTTTTGTTATCTAAACTAAATAAAATCGAATACTCTTAAATTTAATGGTGATAGTTTATGTTTATATAAACATAACTATGTGACTGATAGTGATATATTATGTGACGATTGTACAAATTAGATCTCGAGACACTTTATGCTAACCATGCATCATAACATAATATTGTCAGAAAATGTGGTTTAGTCAATAAACATTTTACTTACTTCTAGAACAAGCATTTAGGTCATGTTTTCAAATAAAGAATAAAAAGATTAGTAAAAAATAAAATCCTTCTAGATTTATATTTTAACAATATGCATGTATGTGTGAATTAACAAAACGCACAAAGGAAAGAGTCACAAAAAGCACTCAACTTCTTGAAATTATAAACATTAATATTTGTTAACTTTTTTTTATGTTAATGCTCTCAATTAAGAAATTTTTTTTATTATCTACATTGACATTTATTCACGTTATAGTTATATCTATTTGCTACATGAGAAATCTTAAGCCCTAAATATCTTAAATATATGGGGTAGGATATTGTAACAACCAACTAATGTTACTACTAATGTTACTACCAATCAATTTCACCGTTAGATCGATTATATTGATCCAACGGTTATATTTATTTCCATCTTTGTATGGTTATTATGATTCCCCATATTTAATGTGAAAACATTAAATATGAGAAATCATAATCATACAAAAGTGAAAATAAATATAAAGTATTAAATATGAGGAATCATAATCATACAAAGATGGAAATAAATATAACCGTTGGATCAACATAACGATCTAACGGTGAAATTAATTGGTAGTAACATTGGTAGTAATACTCGTTAGTTGTTATAATATCCTTTTCCTAAATATATATGTTGAATAGGCAGAGTGACAATTAGCCAAAAATAAAAATGATCAGGTATGATGGTATTGTGAATATTATGAAAGATATAATGAAAATGGACAACACATGCATCCATTTACTAAAATTTTTTTATAAACGCTGACATACATAAATATGTAATGTTAAGTACACTACGAGAAAATGATGAATAAAAAAAAGTAAAATCTTATTAAATATAATTACAAATATATTAAGTTATTTGTTTTGGGGAGAGACATATTTATATAAGTATCATCCAATAAATTATAATCGTCAAATTGATAAAAATCAACAATTAAAATTTAATGATAATAAGTAATAAACTTAATTGGTGGTAAGTGCACCCCTTCTCATTTTTTTTACCTATTTCACTATTAATTTATATTTTAAAAATGATCATATTAACCTCTCCCATTTTTTAAATATAATTCTAGATAAAATATTTCCAAAGGCTCACTTTGAAGTAAGGATTTAAAATAGAGGTGGTACGGGCAATTCACCCTTCCCAATTTATGTTTTTATCATTTTATATTTTGTTTTGTTAAATTTAAAAATACTCATACAATTCAAGTATTTTTGCTAGTTATTTTTTAGACATAATCAGTTTGATAGAAACTTAGACAACATATATCTCTAAAATATTTTCTCAATATTTTTTGTGAAATTTTAGGCAAATAACTTTTATTCAAAGATCTTATCAATTATTATCTAATGATTCTTCTATTTCCTTTTCTTGTCATTAAGTGCATGTATTTTTCTATTTTTCTTTTTTGTAGATAGTGCATGTATTCTTTAGTAAGACACAATTAACGGTATTAAAAAAAATTATATGAAATTTAGAGAACTGATTAACTCAAAAAAAAGTGCAAGATTAACATGGGTGAACTTAAATGAATTGGCGGGTTGAAATTTCCAAATTTGCCAACCGATGAATTGGACCAATTATATTGCATGTGTTTAGACTTACAAGACAAAAATTAAATTTCAGAGTCTACCATAAGCAAAAACGAACTTGAATCTTTCTACTGTTATGGGTGGATCACTCAATGGCCCAACACTGATAAGACTTTTTATCATTGGTCGGACTTTTATATTATGGCATGTGAAAAACACGCCCTAATTTCGTTGGCTTCACTTTACTCACTTGCCCAACAAGTTCCCACCGCAAAACAAAATATTCCAACTGGACCCACTTCTGTCAATCATGCATCCCACCGTTCTGTTCTTCCTTCAAATTGATGAACACAAACAAAAACGGTTGTGTCCTTTATGTCCTTCTCTCTGCCCCATCACCAACTTGCTTCCCATTCTCTTCATATTTAGTTCAGTCTTCAGAGCTTTATATTCGTTGTTTTAATTATTAAATAATTTTAGATAGTACGGAATCTTTTTTAAATTTTTTTGATCTTTTATATAAGATCATCTGATTGCGAATTAGACGCAATCATCTCGGTAAGAATTATTTTGTAGCAAATAAAATTGCTCTTTAAATTAGACCGTGTTTCCTAACAAATAAACAGAATGCAGTATTAAATTGATTACCGTTCAGTTCTGATATCCTCGATTTGTCGTTATGTACATACAGTACGAAAATTATTATCATTTTTTTAACCCTTGAGGAAAGGGAAATTAAAATTAAACTAAGAAAAAAAAAAAAAAAACAAACACCGTTCCACTACTCTGCGATTCGTGGCCAGCTGGCTGATTCGAATTCCGAAGGGACACCACCGTCTTTTCCCTCTCTACTCGACGTTGCTAATTCCCATACGCTTCACCACAGCGTTTCTAATGGCTTCAGTCTGCATGCACAGTCCATTCTGCTCAATCCCTGACATGTAACTCCTCACTTCCTTCCTAATCATCTCTTGCATCACCGCCAAGAATTCCGCGTCGAACATCTGCTTCCCACGGTCGTCGCTGCTCTGAGCCGGCGGTGGTGACGGTGGTCTCGTCTGGATCACCTGGGTTGGGCTGGAACTGAATCCATGGTTCGACCCAGACCCGGACCCGTTGTTGGGGGAACTGAACCCGGGCAGTGATAAGCTAAGAGAGGTTAGTGGATCATTAACCGAAGACGCAGTTTCGAATAGGTGGATTGAGGGAACCACGGCAATGGGTCTGCAAACGTTAACCTGAGAGGGAGGTGTGGACATAGCGGGCAAACCAGGATCGCTCAAATCGGATCCGGATGGGCTACTCGGGTTTAAATAGCCCGCACCGACACTGGAGGATCTTTTGAGGGGTTGATGATCACGCGAATCGGGATCGGTTGTGAGGGAAGGGCATTTCCTTTTCAGAGTGGAATTCCAATGATTCTTAACGGCGTTATCTGTGCGACCGTTAAGGAGGCGAGATATGGTGGCCCACTTGTTTCCCAACCTGGCGTGCGCTCTTATGATGGTGTCGTCCTCCTCCGCCGTAAAAGGCCTGTGCTCCACCTCCGGCGACAGCTGGTTGCACCACCGGAGACGGCACGATTTACCGGATCGACCCGGAATGGATTTGCTGATCAGAGACCAGTTCCTTGCCCCGTGGGTTTCAACTAGCTTCTGTAACGCGTCGTCCTCTTCGGGGCTCCATGGACCCTTGGTCCGATCCATGTCTTTCCTTGCCGACGCCATGGAACGATTAAGTTAACAAACTCAGTATCATAAAAAAAAAGAAAGAGAAGGAACAAAAAAAATAATGAAATTAAAATTTATAACTGCGGGAGAGGAAGAGAGAGGATGCGTGACCTCTAACTCTGAGAGAAATGATGGTGGGTTTTGGAGAAATAGAAAATGCGAAGCGATAAGAATGACCGGTTGGGCCGGTAGTGGTGACCGGTTGGGGCGGTTGGCAAGGCAGTTACTATACAGCTGTCAAACTAACACGCGTGGAGTTGGAGCCCCGTAACGGTTACACGTATGATCACGCTATCGGTGCTGCTGTTAAGTCAGTTGTGATCTAATAAGTAATAACTAATTAACTATACTTATCTTATGTTGTTACTCAAACTCAATTTTACACTTGAACTTTTTTACCAATCCTGCCATGCATGCCTGTGCCAGCCCAAATCCACCATTAAAATTTAAGATTATGAAATAACATAATATATATGGGATAAATATTTTTACAGTCACCTTAGAAAGGTTATCTACAGACTACATCTATCCCAAAAATTATATCGTTTTGATTAATGAAGAGTGTTTCTGTAATTTTAGGTGAATTAATGAAGGATGATTCTATAATTTTGTTTTTTTTATCATATTCATTTTACTAAAACACCCTTCATTAGTTTACTTAAAATTACAAAAACACTCTTCATTAATCAAAATGACGTAGTTTTTGCATTAACTATAAAAATTTTTATCTAAAGTGACTGAAGAAATTTATATATATATATATATATAAAGAAAATTTTCAAAAAAATTACTGTAACTTTTCTAATAATCATTTATCTCCTTTTCAAAATTTTAAAGCATTTATTCTTAATTTAAAATTTTTTTATCATTTATCTCTCTAAAGGAGGGGGTAAGTGATAAAGAAACTTTAAGTTAAGGGATAAGCGATAAAAAAATTTATACAAAAATACAAAAATTTATATAAAAATACAAGTGATTCAAAAAATTTGTGAGGAAAAAGTGATAATTAAGAAAACTCGAGGATTTTTAAAATTTTCCATATAATACTGCCACCAGTAGAGAAAAGAATGCACACGCATTCATAAATATCTCCTCCTCTCGACCATGACCGTTGAACCGTTAATCAATCAAGCTTTATCTTAAACTCAAGACAAAACTGTATTCTCTATTTCCAGCTGTATAATAACCACACAAAAAAAATGCACGTACTTCAAAATCTTTGCCTATAGTAACGGACAAGATAAAATAATAACAAAATAAAAGTGTGGCTTCAACTGAAAGATAACTAATTACAGGTGGTTTTGGAAATTAAAAATTGAATAGTATGTTGATCAACTGCTATTAGATTTCTTCTATTGACAAAAGTAAAATATATTTCATAATTAATTTTAAAATGTTTATTTGAGTTGGAAATTTGAAAGAAAGTATCAAACAGTATATATTTAAATATATATATGAAATGTTATATTTATAATTTTTTTTCGTATAACTTCTTAAAATCACTTTTATATTTGTTGAATCAAAATTAAATTAATAATTATCATTTCATATTATTTGTAACTTTTAATTTGATTTTAATTCAACCACCATAAAATTATTGTAAGAAAAAGGGATTGTAAATATAACCTCCTTCGTTATTCAATTTCTTTTGGTTCAATATTTCATATACAATTATTGAGTACGTTGTTTATTATTAATTAAGAGAATATTTATATGAACATGGATTCTAATTAGCAGTTTTTCCGAAAAATATCAAGGCATGAGCTTAGCTCGAGGGATTTGAGTACTGACCGAGCGAGTTTGGAAACCGGAGTCTCGAATTGAAGGAAGACAGCGTTTCTTTTTTCTATTTTTTTTTTTCTAGCTCAGTTTTTTAAGGGTTATAAATTTTAAAGTTGTAATAAAAAAATTTATTCCAAATTTTTTTTAGAAGAGTAATTTTAATTCTTCTCAATGAAGTTTTTTAATTATTAATTTGAAAAAATATTAAACTCAAGGAACGGAAAAATAAAAAAGAAGAGAAGGTTATTATCAAAAAAGAAGAAAAAAAAGAAGAGAAGGCATGGAAACGCAAGTGCTGAGCTGGCGATGAAAAGGACCAAAATAAGTAGCATAATCTGGGGATGAACGCAACTAATATCCTGTCAGTAAAATCCAGGCTGTCAAACCCCAAAAGTCACAGGCTCCTAACGGCCTTCTTCCCCACATTAGCGTCACTTTCCAGTCCTTGCCGAAACGGCAAAACCCTCACTTCAACCATTAAATTTGGAATTTTTAAAATTTGTACACTAGGATGCAAGACTTTTCATTATTATTATTATTATTAACGTTTTTTATTCTATTAGTTAGTTGAACGGTTGTACCAATTTTTATTGCTATAATTCTGTTTACATGGAAGGCAAGAGAGTTTGAGGAGCTAATGCACATGAGTAAAAAACAATTTACTTAATTACCTAATGATATTTATTTAGTTAAAGGGTTTGATGTTTATCATTTTAAATGACATAAGTTAAGAAAGAGATAGATACAAGAAATAAAAAACAGGAGGAGAAAGTGAGTGTTTTTTTTTATTTTTAATTTTCAATAAATATTATTTTATTTCATTTAAAATGACAAACATTTTTTTCTTAATTAAATGATTTATACATTGATTGTGATGATTTGATAAAATAGCGTCAGCTATGCACTGGATCGAGTGTCATAAATACGATTTTTAATATCAATAACAAATATAACTGTTATCATTAAGGAGGCGTTTGATTGAGGAGAATTTTTTTAAATACTAGAAAAATGTAATTGATAGGAAAATGGTTGGAAAATGGGTTTGGTAGGAAAATGTAAAAAAAGTTGTTTGGTTGGAAAAAAATTTACAGGAAAAATTTGGTAAATATTATAAAGTCTATGTTTGGTTTGAGTTAAAATATTGATGGGAAAATGAGTTGCAATTACCAAAATACCCCTTCTTTTTAAATTTTTTGAATCTCATCTTGCGCTGTCTATGTTTGATTGTGTGAAGAGTACTCTCATTCAGTGTCATAAATCTATCAGAAATTGCCACATCATTTTAGCCTATTCAAACCTCTAGAAATTGCCTCTGTGTTCATCGCACTCTGCTTCCAGTTATGGTGAAGGATGAAGGTAGCTTTATAAAAGGGTAATTTTGGTAGTTATGGTGCCAAATTTTTTCATTTACCTAGCTTTTGTGAAATACCACATTGGAAGTGGGATTTGAGTACCATGCAGTTTATCAGATTTTGCAAACAATTATCAATGGCTAGGCAAATCACTTAGCTAGGAAAATTTTTTACTACCATGTACCAAACATGGACAATCCCAAATGCCAATCTCATATGCCTAGGTAAATTTCAAGAAAGTTGCTACCAAACACAACCTAAAGGATTTAGGTAATTGGCATCAAGTCACGAATTTAATAAAGTATCACGATTGGAAAGAAGCGGAAGAAAAAAAAGTAACACAATATTTCTTATGGGATATGATATTGAATCTATTTTTTTATGTCTATTTTACATATATTCTCTAATATTATTGGATCAAAATATCAAAAGGAAAGAGCAACGATGAAGATTAGTTGAGATTCTAATTTAATGGTATCAAGATAAATATGTAAAATAAACATAATATCATATCTCATAAATTGTTTCTATATATAACAATCAAATAATATTACTATCAATGTTACTACCAATCAATTTCACTGTTAGATCGATTATGTGGATCCAACGGTTATATTCATTTCCATTTTTGTATGGTTATGATTCCCCATATTTAATACTTTATATTTATTTTCGCATTTGTATGGTTATGATTTTCTATATTTAATGTTTTCACAATAAATATGGGGAATCATAACCATACAAAGATGGAAATAAATATAATCGTTGGATCAACATAATCGACCTAACAATGAAATTGATTGGTAGTAATACTAATTGGTTGTTATAATATCCTACCCCTTTAAATTTTTTGAAAATGGATCATCTCATGTGGAAAAAAACATGATATGGTCATGTGGGAAGATCACAACCATACAAAGGTAAATCAACGGTTATGATTTCGTAACTACCTATTTTAATATATTTTTTCTCTCCTCCTTTATTACCATTGGTCCACCTTTGTATAGTTATGACTTATGATTCCCCACATGACATGATCATGTGAATTTTCACATGAGAGGATCCAGATCCAAATTTTTTATCTTAGTAGTTCCCTAGAACAATAAAAAAGAAAACACGTTATTTATGACAATGATTATTCATATATAGAGACAAAAATGAGTTTCTAGAGACTATCCAAGTAAACAAGTTTATTGAATCGCAATATGTATCGTATATCGGTTGTCCTGGTTTTTTGTATCGTGAATCATATGGAATCGTAAGATACAAAAATATTATAAAAAATATTTTAAAAATATATAATATAATTAATATCTTACAAATCCAATTGCCAAAAAGAATCCAATAAGCAAAATACATAAGTAACTAAAGTGCAAACCAATTATTCTATCACTCATCAATCATCAAGATTAATATTATCACTACTATCACTATTAGCATCTAATAGTGACACAACTAATCCATCATCATCTTCACTAGTGTAGTCATTTGACTAATCTCTCATTTCTTGTTCAACAATTTGATGTCCTTTTCTCTTATCATTCTTTTTGACAATATCATTTCGCTTCTCAAGTTTGTTGGCATTATCTTGTTCTTGTATGATAATTTCTTTCCTTTTATCATTCATGTTGGCTTTAAAATTTATTTTTGAATATAAATCAAAAATCAAATCTTTATTTCTATAATAAAAATTATAAATTTTGATTTGAATTTCATATCGTATTATATACGTATCGTTTGATAAAATCCTTTTCTGATACACCCTCTCGATATGTATTGTTGCGCTTGTGAATTGTATTGTATCGTATGATACTGATAACTATGCGAGTAAATATTAACATACATTTAGCCTTGAGATTGGAAAATTTTGAAAGGAGTGTGAAATTGAATTAAATAGCATTATAAAACTCAAAAAATATGTTTTATTTTTAATTTTTTTTAAACAGGTTGACGCACCCATCTTAAAACAGGA